CACACACCATACTATGGTTTATTTGGAATATTCGATCGTATGTTTTGTGTTTACATATTGAATTTTGTCAACTCATTGATCCTATTATAATATGACCTAATGAAAAGGACTTCTAAAATTTTAATTTTAAGTTACTCTATTTAAAAGTGAAAATAACGAAATAACACTTATATTCAGTATGTCAACGTTTAAAATATATAATTCATGCAATCAGACAGTTAAGTTTGTAAGAATCATGCGATATTCACTTGGTGTTTTTTACTTGAATTTCCCCCATTGTTGCTCAGTCTCTTATTGGCATATGAGGATAATGTGTGTATTGCCTCGATATTGCCTTAAGTCACATGCATCATTAGCAAAGATGTATAGTGGCTTTCATTGCTAGCCAGGCCTAAGCAACAATGGGAAGATTCAAGTAAACAACATCAAGTGAATTTAAAATTCACCTCCATTGTACAAGGAAGTGGCTATCAGGGTTCAGTAAGTAGATGGATAACGCGATGGCGTTTGAAGCGAACGATACTGGGTTCGTGTCCTAGAGTGAACATCAACTCTGAGATGCAGGAATATCCAGCTGACAAGTCCCAAATAGAACGAAACTCGCGTCCTAAATTCCACTGCTAGCCACTATCCATCTTTGCTTAATCATGCGATGTATTAGAGAACTACATTTTGAAACAATCTTATCAAACATTTACTTCTAAAGATATTTATATATGATAATCATAGTCAACTTGACAAGTTGAAGGATGTGACTAACGACAATAATTGGGAAAATAATATAAAATGAGGATGATGGTAATTACAATAATTGCAATAATTGTGGTAATAAACCTCTGTTAAACATGGTAACGGTGAGATAGAACAAACAAAGGTATTTTAAAAAAATTTTTAGTCAGGGAAACTAATAATAGTTTTATTGCTAGGGACTTAAATATTCATTGTGAAGATAAATAGGGAAATTATAATTGAGGATGGATGGCTCCGCATGATAAGATAAAATGTTGAAATTTAGATAAATATAATCCGGAGGATCATAAAAAACAGAAATAAACCATTTGGAGGTAGAGGGTCTATAGAGAAGATAGAAGGGGAATTATGTAGCTGTAAAGAAAGAAAAGTATGACTAAAAAGGAAAAAGAAAGAAAATTACGAGGCATTAAGACCATGGTAGAAGTTGTACCAATTTCTTTTGAACACTTAATTCTGGCTTTCCTAGATGTCAGGCTGTTGCTTCGGCAATCTTGAGTAGATGCATCATAACTGCCTTTGATAAACTTCTAATTACCTTGTATATGACTGAGAACGCAGAGTCTAACTTGAGTTCACAAGATGTTCGATTATTGAGCTTCTTATCGAGCCGTTTCCGCCTCCTTTTAGCCAAGCCGGGTAATGTTCTTCACTTCTTTTGGATAAAAAACCATGTTTAACAGAAGTTTATTATCACTAGTATTGTAGTTATTGTGATTATTATCATCCTGAAAAATAAGTATATATATTTGTAATTGTACAGATTTGAAAATAAATTCACCGAAAAGAGAACCCTTTATTGAACCAATCTTATGTCACAATGGGTATATACCGTTTACTGAAAAACAGTATAAGTCCCATCACTTTAGATGTTGAATCAATTTTATCAAGGTTCGATTTAATATAAGCGCAAATTGTTTTTGAATATATAGAGTGTGGGGGAGGAAATGGTCGAGCCTCAAACATATCTAAGTAACCAGCGTAAATAACCTTTAAACCAAAACACAAATACTGTGTTAAGATCGATCTAATGTTCTGTTTTAGTTATGTGGTTAGTAACAGAGATGAATAGTTATTTGTCATCTGCTCTTATTGCGTTATCTGACTTTATTAGCGAGACTATAATTTACGGACGAACCAATCAGGTTCACGATAACATATCTTAGATTTTGGCGCGAAATTCATTCACCTATCTGGCCAAATAGAGTTTTGACATTATAGCTGATGTCAGTTCATGATGAAAACTCTAAATCTAATTCCTAATCATAACTTCAACTGTATATCATGTTTCTTATTCTTCAAACTGCTTTATAACCCTCATTTAGCCCTAGTGAGTAAGTGGACGCTCTCAAGGTTAGTCTAGCGTCGCTGAAAGGTCGTCCATAAATTATAGTCTCACCACTTTATTTATTTTTATAACCATTTTAGTATATGTTTAACGATCCTAACTTCAAAGTCATAATTAATCCTTCTGCATGAAGATTCGCTCTTTCTTCCAAACGTCTGTGATAACGAGAAGGGTAGTGTATAGATCATAAATCCTGATGAAACATTTGAATACAACTAATGTTATGTATACATTTCTTGTCCGTCTTCTCGTTACATTTTTCATAAACTAATACAAACGGGTTTCGAGAGACTGAACTCATTAATTTCACATTTTTTGCAAAACAAAAACCAAGTAACGATTTAAAAGTTGAATTTTGGTTGCATCAATTTAGAGATAATAAAGAAGCAGTTAGTCAATGTATGCTGATTAACTGCATATATTCACTTATAAACACAACAGGCTTTAACTTTTGTAAAATGATTAAAAATCGTTGTTAAACTACTTTTTCTAAGTCATTCACTGTATCACTTAACTCTATGAAATACTACAGTGCATTCCATTTACATGACAAAATAATTTAAAACGTATCCGAATCAGATTAAACCCTCTTTGAACTTTTCTAGAAAGAGTATAATTTTGGAAACTACTTTTACGACGCACGAGTATCAACCAGTGAACTAATAAGATAGCTAAGTATCGACCAACTATTTTGTATTAAATTATAACTTGTCATCGAACTCAAGTGTAGAAATCAAGAAAAACGAATCATCCTACCATATATAAAAGACAAATCAGTACTTACAAGGGGGGTTATTGAAGCGATCTGTAATAGGTGTAGATCATAAAATCATTTCAATCAATTTTGAGTATACTAAAGGACAAAATGACAAAGAAAAACAACTAAAAATCATCTACAAAATAAACTGCTCCAAAAGCGAAAAACATTACATCGGACAAAGTCGACACACATTCGACTGAAAAAGTGTTGAAGTATTGTGTAGAGGGAATTTTAAGAATATCAGGGAATCTTCAGAGGCCTGACACTCATGTCACTCAACGATCAATAATTACATCAAAATCATGAACTAATATAGAATCAAACATCAGATCAAAGAGAGATTAAATCAAAGTAATTAGGGCAATAAAGATGGGTTAAAGGTCAACTATAACCAATCAAGATCAAGGTCGACATGACAAGCTGATGGTCATATGTCAAGAAATTCAAACACTTCACTTCTACGAGAAGTTTGTGCTGATGATGTTGTTTAGAAGAACAATAGAAGCTCAGGCTCAGAAAAAAAACTCCACCAAAATCATCCACCTGAGCTACAAATTTTCTCCACCATCTCAACTTTCTACCATTTTGCACATTAAACCACTTAAGTAACTATAAGCATTATAATAAAGTCCAAGATGGGTTGGATGCTACCTGATCAATCGGTCTGTAGAGTAATAACTCCCATTATCCTGTTTGTTTTAATTCTCTATATATAACAATTAAAGTCATTGATATACATCTATTCACATTCACAATTCGGTTATCCCCATGGATCAGAAATTTTCTTCAGAAAATCAAATTCTATATCAATAACTGAACATTGTCATCCTTTACAATAGGACTAAGCAGTACTAAAATAAATCAACTAGGTTATTATTATCTTTAAATTTTCAATTACTAACAAAAACTGATGAAAGTAACTTTTCATTTCAACCAATTTTTGGGTGATATTCAACTAAATCATTTGACCTATGCATGAATTATTCAACCGGTTAAATATATTTTGTATTTTATATTTTAATTTTTCTTATCAGGAATTAAAAACGAATTGAAGCAACATAACTCAAGAATTAAAGAATGAGGATGTATTTGTAAAATCTCAGACAATGAATTTGAAGTAAATCTTAAGTTTCGCCTAGCCATTTGGTTTAAGCTTTTTCAAGGAAATATAAACAATCATCAAAATTATCGAATATAAATAGGTACATGGTTCTCCGGTTCATTGTATACTGAATACGTCATCCAATCAACGTGAATACTGTTTAAAGTAGGTATTTACATTAGTGTGTAAGAGACATGTGGTGTAGAACGAAAAGTATTAAGATAACAGATTGTGTGTATACGTAAGTGAGAAGAAGAAATTTATTTCATTATATATTGTCTCTGTTTGGTGAATTTTAAGAAAACATATAATTTTTATAAATGATATGAATCAAAAATGTCAGCATGTACCTATTTATATTCGATAATTATGATGTTTGATTATATTTCCTTGGAAGAGATTGGACCAGATTGCCAGGTGAAACGTTGGATTTACTTCCGATTCATTGGGTGAGATTGTACAAATACATTCTTCCTCTTTAATTTCTCACATCAACTCGATGCCCAAATACTGTAAAACTATTCGATCAAATTTAGACGAAAGTTCTTATTTAAAACTGAACAACAAACCAGATTCCAGCGGAATAGGAAGTCAAGAAGAAGCTCCAGAAGTGGACAGGACACATATTGAGGAAAGCACCTAACTGCGTCACAAGGCAAGCCCTCAATCGGAATCCTCAAGGCCAAGGAAAAGAACAAGACCAACGAACACATTACGTTGAGAAATGGAGAAAAATGTGTGAAGAATGAAGAACAATTGGATAGAACTAGAAAGGATGGCTTAAGACAGTGTGGGTTGGAGAATGCTGGTCAGCGGCCTATGCTCCTTTGGGAGTAACAGACGCAAGTGAGTCGTAAAAAAACGCATCACGAAATGTCAGATATATAAATTTCTACTCATTGTGATATCATAAAAGTTATATTTATTATTAAACCATGAACGTTTTATTGCTTTGAAAAAAATAATACTTGGCTACAAGTAGAAAACTACCTCTCATTTATTTATATACGTGTAACAATACATAACCAACCCACTCATACTTGATAAAGAGTTGGAAACATTCGCTTTCCTGGGCAGTTTCATCGATGAACAAGGAGGATCCGATACAGGTGTAAAGACAAGGATTTGCAAAGTAAACGCAGCATTCCTACAATTGAAAAACATAGAGAACTTGAAAAAGACTGTCTACGAACATAAAAGTCAAAATCTTCAATATGAACATCAAGACAGTTCTACTGTACGGAGTTGAAACTTGAAGGATAATTATAACTATCATCACAAAATTACAAGTAACTATAAACAATTGTTTACGCAAGATACTCAATGTCCATCAGTAACAGTCTACTGTGGGAAAGAATAAACTAGCTTCCATCTGAAAAAGAAACTAAAAAGAGACTTTGGAGGTGGATATGACATACAATGCGAAAATCACTAAACTGTATCACGAGACAAGCGCTAACTTGAAATTCTAAAAAATAAAGAGAAATAGGAAGACCAAAGAACACACTACACTGAGAATTGGAAGCAGACATCAAAAGAATGAATAGTAACTGGAAACAACTGAAAAGAATTACCCGGGACAGAGTTCGATAGAGAATGCTAGAGGGCGGCTTATCCTCCTCCACGATGGATAACACGTGCAAGAAAGTAAGAAAGAAAGTAAGTAGCAACAATACGTACTCAACATGCATGCTTATTTGAATGTAATTCAACATAATCAACAACTTTCGTGAATCTCGATTCTTATGATGTTTATGTATGACAATCAAGTTACGTAATAAATACAACCTAGAAAAAATATGTCATTTATTCCAGGATTTAAAAAAAATCGAAAAAACCGGATGTTACTTATGATTTAAATCTGAGCTTAAAAATCACTGAATTTACCGCGTAAATATATATATATATATATTTACTTGACCGAAACTAGTTTCTAATTGCCGTATTTTCTGCTCAATTAAAAACAAATTTTATTATTATGGTAAGTAAATAGTTAATCGATTTTATATTATCAATATAGATAAGTGAAGAAAGAAAACCATTTCTATAATAATTTCCCATAATCTTACAGATCTTATTTATAACGCTCCCATAAATCAGATCACAGGGAAGATCAAAAACAGCAACAACAAAGAACGGATCCAACACAAGGATAGTAACAATAATTAACTTGTTGTTATCTAATCGAAAATATAAAAGAAATCTGAATGAATAAATATATCTTAGATTAATTTAATTAGTTTTAATAAGAAATGAAAAATGGGTTTGAGCTCACTTTTCTTCTTGATTTTGTAAAAAAAAAGAAAGAAGAAAGACTGAATTCAGTGATGAATGAGTGAATGAAACAAAATATGAAATAGATATTTCATTGATTTAGTTTACATTTTAACTCCACCTGGAGTCCCTCCAGGGGCTACTGCCGGTCCCAAGCCCGGATAAAGGAGGAGGGTTGGGCATGGGGTTAGCGACCCCATCCCGTAGAAAACTAACTAGCTAAAAAAAACGCTGACCAGAAAGAATTATTCAAACCTTCTAAACTCTGACCTGGGAGTCAGAAGGTCTTCATTTAGAAGAACTATGACGCCTCATGATGACAGCCGAATTCCTTCGGAAGTTACGAGGCCGATGCCCCTTCTGACAACCAGAGCGACCATTTATTTAGGTACATTGAGTGTTCGTACAATGTGGGACACCGGGAGAGCCTTCCAAATTGCTGCAGAAATGAGAAGATACAACCTAGAGGTGCATAGGATCAGTGAAACACATTGGACGCAAGTTGGACAACAACGACTATATATATATATATATATATATATATCTGTCGATATAAGTAGTATGTAACATCAATTATAAGTGGAAACTTTGGAAGTAGAAGGTTATGAAGGTCGATTTGAAAAAAAAAGCAGAAATGCGATTTGAAAAGAATTGTGAATTGGAAGAATCATACATAATGTGAAGGAAAAATGATAGTAAAAGAGATTATCTCATGTATAGTCCATATATTTTACCAAGAGATTCTGCAATTTTACATTAAAATACATTTGGTCGTCCCCATCTGTGTGTTTTCGTTCATTATACTACCTTAGCACTTTGTTGTGACTAGAATTTAAAATGATTGTCATACCGTAGTTAAACAGATATTATTGACGGGATGTTTATTCAGTGGTCAAAATAATTTAGAAAAATGTCGACCTTGTGACTTCATTAACTTTCATCTTCTTTTCTGTCATTTGATTTGTTCTATGTACAGAGAATAAGTCAATTTATGTTTTAGCATATTTGTGTGCAGTTGTGAACTTCAAAGTTTTATGAATTTGTTGGTAAGAATTAGTGACTTTCTCTTGTAAATGTTCATAATTCCATTGGGTTCTATCCGTACCCATAGTACAAACGTAATGAAATCAGTCGATTAATTATTGACTAGTCGCTTGCACTCACTATTGATGGAATTCCATCCATGAAGTTGTGATGCGAATACTATTCACACGGACTAAATATTTTGTGAATTTTTGTTTAAACTTTAGTTGGTTAGAGATAGCCAGCTGATGACTATCAATTGCCACGAACTTTATCATAAAGGTTTTCTGCAGTGTTATCAATAATTAGAGTGGTTCTATATTGTGAATCGCCAAAACTGGGGCAGATGTGTTCTTCCTGTGAATTCTAACGACCGTCTAAATAAACCAGTCTTGAACTTACAGCCGGAAAACGGAAAACCGACTGCCACTTACGATAAGCTATATGTTTAACTGAACGTTGGCTTACGTAAATGCATGCACTGGATTTCCGTTGTTGCAGATATTTCTGCACCAGTCATTGGTATAGACCTGCTGAAACACCATAATCTACTGGTCGACACGCGCAAAAAGAGGTTAGTAGATGGAAATAAATAATTGTCTGTCTTTGACACTTCCTTTTCTTTTTGAAGATTATCCCCAGTTACTGTTAAGAACAGAATCGCCCCATTCTGTCAACGGTTTCTCAACAAGTACCCTGAATTGTACAAAACGCGGCCAAGATTACCATATATATTCAGCAGTTTTGCACATCACATCACGACTACAGGAACACCCGTATTTTTGAAAGCGGGCCGGCTGGATCCCGAAAGCTATCATCGACCATAAACGAATTCAAGCACATGATGGACTTGGGAATTGTTCAGTTATCAAACAACCCATGAATATCTCACTTGTGTAAGGTTCCTAAAATAGATAGCAACAATTAACATCTAACTGGTATCAGCAAATGAATACGGAAATCCCTCCAGATCATTGCCTCTTACCGCACATACACGATTCGAAAGCTTACTTAAAATGTACAACTTCTTCTTTTCCGAAAATCGATCTGCCTAAAGCGTATAACCGAATTTTGATGGCTGATGACAACATTCTAAAAATCCCCTATCACTGCTTCCTCAACTCGATGAATTTTAGCTCGTCTTTCGATTTAAGAAATGCTGTACCTACTTTCAAGAAATTCAACGATAACGTTTTAAAGGTCTCAAATACGTACATGCATATGTAAATGACTGCGTGATCACAAGTCCAGGCAGAGCAGCTCATCTCCAATATCTGAACCTTGTTTTTGAACAACTGCAAAAACACGGCATTATTGTAAGCATTCAAAGATGTCAGATCGGAAACGACTCACTAGTTTTTCTCCGATACACTATATGTGCTCAAGGCATCTGCCCTGTGAAAAGTAAAGTGGAGGCCATTTTGAATTACGTACATTAAATGGGATGATAAGTTTCTATCAATGGTTCATACTGAACAGTACGTCTCTCATGAGACACTTAACAGGCCAACTTCGTGGAAATATGGAATTCATCAATTCGAACGATAACGCGAGAAAAGCATTCTCCACAGTTGAGAAAACTACAGCTAAAGCAACTATTCTTGCATACCAGGATACCAACGCACCTACTAGTATCATAGTAGACGCGTCTGACACGGCAATCGGAGTAATCTTAAGACAATGAGTAAACAACACCAGGCAACGTTTGACATTTTTCTTCAGATGGTTGTAAGGCAGTTAATCAAGGTATAACACTGACACCAAGAGATACATAGCCATCTATTGTACTGTACGACACTTTCAACACTGTGAACGGCCGAGAATTCACTCTATACCGACAATAAGCATCTTACCTTCCGTCTAAGCTCTTCTTCAGCCAAATACTCACCCAAAGCATCTCAATAACTGGACCACACTCCGTAGTTTACTTAAGATACACAAAATAATGTAGTGACTAACGCCTTGCCTCGCATAACTTCCTTGAACATTTTCGAGTGAATCGAACTTCTTCAACTCTCCTAGCTTCAAAATGAAGGCATTAACCTCCAAAATGAGTTATCTTTGACACCTCTGAAACTACAGACTAAACGAATGGAAACAGATATGGAAACATCCCAGTGTGACATATCTGCAGTTAGGGATCGCATAACCGTGATGAAACATTGTCCACTAAACGTTATAGCAGCTCACGTGCAAGTAAGTTTGTTCACAGTTAATTTGGTTAGGCTTTTTTGTTAACTTATTGGACGGACAGTCATTCGTACAATAACAACTTATCTATATCATTGTACCTTTATTATTGTTTCACTTGTATGAATATGTATGCTTGAGCAGTGTTTACTACCTATGCATAAATTCATCCTGCTACCCTTACTATTAGTCGCTTAATTGATTCGATGATTCATTCATTTCACTATGTATATACATGTGTACATTTTAATCCCGTACACTCACTCATTTGACTCGCATGCTCACTCACTTGCTTTCCGGCACTACACTTGCATACTTGCTTAGCGTGCCTGTACATTTGGTGATCTGCGAGTGGTGCAATAATAAACTTAATCGACACTTCGTATTCGCCTTCTGATTAACACACCGTTCGGGAGTTATCTGGTGCAGTTATCAGGACTAACAGTATATGAAGCTAAGGGATTATATTAAGTACCAACCACTACAACGTCTTTAATACATTGCATAAACTTTCTCAACCAGGTGTTCGAGCAACCGTCCCGCTCATAGCAAAACAACTTTGTTGATCTGGTATGAATAAAGACGTGAGGGAGTAGACACATTCCCATATAAGATGCCAGAAATTCAAAGTGTTCATACACAACAAATTCCCTTGTGCTATTTCACAACTCTAGACGCTCGTTTCGACTATATTCATCTAGATTTGGTAGGACCCCTATTAAATTCATGTGTGCTACGTACCTCTTGCGAATACTAACCAGCTTAGAATAAACAGTTCTCGACGTATCGATAACTTTCTAAGTGTATCTTCAGACCTATTCATTTCTGACTTAAATTTGACTGAGTTGGCATTTTTTGAATTGAAAGGTGTTACGTGTAAAGGCGATTTCAAACTCTGAGTACTATTATTAATGAAGACTTAAAACTCTGAAGGCATACCTATTTGTCATAAACAATAAAGTACTGAAGTTCGTTAGCGAGTAGTGTGCTCGGAGAAACAACTCCGGAGTTTTTCAACAGGCGGTATTATTTACTTTAAATGATTCGGAACCATGCATCGTAATAAATGGTTCAAATGGTTGTGGACGGAATAGAAGAAGCTTTCGCTTAACAGGCTTCCGTTTCTAGTAGCAGAGGATCACCAAATCCTCCAGGCAGGAACCTAGGTATGTTAACAATAAAAGAGGAAAAGAAATTAGTAAATCATAATGTGATACTATCCTTAGTTCTTAAGAATAGATCAAGTTGCCTCTTAAAGGACTCCTGGGAATTTGCTTGAACTAGCTCGGCCGGCAGCGAATTCCAGCATTTGACAACTCTTAAGGAGTAGAAGTTGTGTCTACATTACGTCTTGCTATGTTGTGTTTCCAATTTCTGGGTGTTGCCCCTTAGGTTATTATTCGAACTAAGCTTAAGTAGGTGTCTGAGAGGATGTCCAGAAGTGTTAAGAATACTATAAGCCATCAATAAATCACCTCTAAAACGTCTATATTCTAATGGGTAAAGGTTAAGTGAATGGAGGCGTTCTTCATAAGGTTTAGATTTGAGTCCTCGAACTGATTTCGTGGCTCGCCGTTGGATACGCTCCAAAGTGACCTTGTCCTTTTGGAGTGAGGGGGGAGTACTATGTTTCCGTACTCTAAATGGGGACGGATGAAACTATTGAAGATTGTATGGAAACTTCGTCCGTCAAACTGTCCAAAAATGCGCTTCAACGTTACCAGTGCAAGGTTTGCTCGGAAGGCATTTTTGTCACAGTTAGCGTAGGACTTCAAATCATGGGGCATCAGGACTCCTAAATCTTTTTCGACTTGGGATACTACTAGAGAGGAGTTTCCTAAGTTGTAACTGTAGTCTGCGACATGTCGCAGATGGACTACTTTACACTTTGAAGTGTTAAAGGTAAGTCCGTTATCGTCTGCCCAACTTTGAAGTCGAGTCAGATCCTCCTGAAGTGCCTGTATATCGTCTTGGTTGCGTATCTCTCTCCAAAGTTTCACGTCGTCGGCAAAAAGTAATAAGTCTGACGTTACCTGTTGAGGAAGATCATTTATGTAGATCATGAAGAGAAGAGGCCCTAGTACTGAGCCCTGGGGCACCCCACTAGGACATTCCATAGCCTGAGATAAAGTGAAATTAACTCTAACCTTAAAGTGTCGATTTTTTAGGTATGAAGTAAGCCAATCGATTAGAGGTGGTTTGATACCTAGTTGTTTGAGCTTATTGATAAGACACAAATGGTTAACCTTATCAAAAGCTTTTGAGAAATCAAGGTAAATGATATCAACCTTTCCCTTGCGATCGAGGATGCTTGTCCATCTGTCCACCGCAATCAGCAGGTTGGTAATACAAGAGTAACCCTTCCTGAAACCATGCTGTTGGGGTGAGAAGAAATTTAAGGACAGTAGATAGTCGTTTAAACCGTCGCATATCGGGGACTCCATGATTTTTGAAGGTATGGAGAGAAGAGCCACCAGTCGGTAACTTGAAGGTTCGCTACGTCGACCTCCTTTGAAAATTGGTGTGATGTGAGCCAGCCTCCAATCTTCCGGTAGTTTTCCTCGACTTAGCAAGTGTGAGAACATGACGCTAAACGACGTTGCCAAGATTGTGGCTGCTTCCCTCAGTATGGCAGAATGGACCATGTCCGGGCCAGGAGAAGTGTCTAATCTTAAGTGCTGCAGTTTCCGGAACACCAAGTCAGCGCTTAGGTTCACTTCGGAAAATCCTGTGGAATTGCAAACGAAACTGTCATCAGTAAAGTTAATGTCGGTCGGTTGAAATGTCTGGAAGTAATGTTCAGCCAGAAGGTTAGCGGCGTTGCCATCGTTGTTGGTCGGGCCGTTAAGACCTAGCAGTTGAGAAACTCCTGTTTTGGTTTGACGAAGAGAGGCTGAATAACAGAATAAGCTTTTAGGATTGGAGGCAAATGTGTCCATAAGCTTTGTCTGGTACTGAAGCATGTCTTCTCTTATAGCCTTCGTGCATATGTTCCTGATATGTTTATATTGCTTGTACGCTCCGTCGTTGTCAGTTCGTTTGTATTCCGCCCAACAGTGCCTTTTGCAGCTTAGCAGGCGAAGGGTACGGTTCTTGATTATTGTAGGTGGCTTGCAGCTTTTGGGAACCGTTTGAGGAACTGACTGCTTTGTAGCACGTAAGAGCGTGTGCAGTAAGAAGTCCCGATGACCGTCCACGTCGAGTTGGGGGTGAACATCCCAAACCACCTGTTGTAGATAGTCGTGTAACGCTGGCACATTTAACCGTTTAAAATTCCAACGCAAGTCATTGGTGGGGTATCTTAGCTTAGTTTTGCTGACAAAACTGAAGGCTATGACGGCATGATCGAGTTACCGACCTCACATTTTCAAACAATCTCAAGTCATCAATGAAGTTGAAGAAACGAGCTTCAATTGAGTTGTCGCCTCCAGTATACGTGTGTTCCGCCAAGTTGACTCTAAGCAGATTAAAGCCCCCTAGAATCAGGATGTGTGTGAAACCGAGACGAGTAGAGAGGGATAGTCCATCCAGAATACTACTATCGTACTCGATGTCGCCAGTTGGCTTCCTGTAAACGACTTCAACTAGACACCTCGAAGTACTGGACAATCATACAGGACACCACATAGATTCCTCAATGTAAGATCCAAACTACGGTTTGAAGTGAAGGACAGCTGTCTGGATGAGTTAGATACGCGCCCTCGCCCGATTGAAACC